TGACATTTTATTACCAGTTTGAATAGATATTTTGTTTTCATTGACTTTGTTTACAAACACTTGAAGTCTCGAACAACCCACCTCTAACATCTAAATTAAAAGAATCATTTGATCACGTGACAATATTGATATAGTTCCGGTTAAAAAAAAAGGCCATCCCTTACCGTGATATGTTGAAGAGCGCTAGCGTTACTTTCACGGAGGCCGTTTGTCTTCGTCGTAGACAGGAGTCTGGGTGTCAGATGTCCAGACGAAAATTTAGATGACAAAGGAAAAAGTAAACAATTCGTTTCCACTAAAGAAAAAATAATTGGAGACATTACAGTATTTTGCTTGACGGCTATGAAAAAAAAAGTCTGATTTTTTAACTGCTGCCAAGGATCTATCTAAAATTTATTGTTACATGACCTAATATTAGAAAGTAGTCCGATTTATCTGCCAGCTGCATACAAGGTTATTGCCTTGCGTAGCTAGAATGGTCGACCTAAGTACCATTGGTAAAATCAAATGAATCAAATGTTAGCCTTCCTACGAACCAGAAATTTCCCACAACGCATAAAGACATATTATACAGGACTATACATCCTTTAAACTACAAATAAAACCATAGTTGAGATAAAAGCATCCCCCCTAGACCACTAGAAGTTAAGATTAACTTCGAGAGGCTGTTAGCTGAGCAACGTCCTCACTACTTCTTCCACCACCACAGAGGAGAGCTATTGTCCGAGCTATCGTCTTGCTAAGAAATCTTCGGCCAATTCCGTATGTCAACGAAAACAACTGGAGAACGTTCGCACAACATGCTGTTTATGAATGATGCAGAATTTATTAGTCCGAAACTTCTGTCTCCATTCCAGCCTCTGATGGTTATTTTGATAGTTGTCAGCTGGAGTAGAGTCAGAAGGCGAAGACCCTGTAAAATCGGGTTTTTCCACACCTCTCCAAAGATGCGTTTTCTCTAACAGAATATTGACTGAATTCAAATGATAGTGAATAATTTCTAGGCATCACCGTGACTTTAAATTTGTTAGTGACACTTGATACTGTGACCTTTTGACTGCGCACGCAGTTTTAAATGGCCGATGCAGTTTCGACAAAAAAAAATTGACGGAAACGGAGACATGACAATGATGGCTTGACTGAACTATAAAAATATCCATCTTTCCAAATATACCTGGGTTTTGCAGATCCTAGGTGTCTAAATAGGTTTAAAACCACCGCACCTGCGGGGCGGAGATGCGGAATTTCCCCACTTAGCTTATTATTTCTGTCTCTACACCAGGTGACATCTGTCCAAATAGCTCAGAGGCTGGAATAGAGACAAACGTTTTGGTCTACTGAATGACGTGTTTGATTTCCCACATCCTCCCCAGAAGACGCAAATACAATTAAAACTCCAAGGACTTTAATGCGTCTGAGACTCATTAATATTGAAATTTATCTCGAATGACATCCATCCATATAGGAATAAGTGTATAGCTTGTGGAATTCTTTGACAATATTTTCTATGACTGGAAAAGGTTAATTATCTAAAGTAATATATTTCTGAAGATCAGACAGGAATGAAACGAAAGAGTAAAGAAAGAAAAAAGTACATAGTTTTAATTTGGAAGTCGGCTTTTATCTTTTACTTTTAATATAGCCACTTTAGTTAAATCTAACGGCACCCCTTTTGATCGTTCGTCAAATTAACCTTTGGACCAAACCTGATAAACACAGCGTCACAGCGCCGAAGAGGGTAGAATTTGATTGGTTAAAGCAGACGTCATCTAGTCGCGTCAAC